CTACCGCAAATAAGCATAATACATTATTAAGAGACACTGCTTGTTGTAGCCTTTACACACACACACACTACATCCTTGACCACCGAAGGGTCAAGACGTACCTGGCGCTCCTCTAGGAGCAGCCAGGTCAACTGTTAAGTTGGCCCATACCAACCCCCTCCCCTGAACCCTCCTCCCCACCGGAATATCAACAAGTTCTCACCAGAAGTTACAATTTCATTTAGGAAAGGAATGGAACCAGTGTTAAACAGGTGAACAGTGGTGAACAGTGCTTAAGTCAGTGAGAACAACTCAAAAGTAACAGTCGTACCGAAGTTAACCTTCACACAGTGAGGTCCCAGGTACCCAGTGATAACGGCCCGTGAGACCCAACAACCAGCGATGTGTTAATCCATCTACGATAGGAAGGCCTGGGACCACACCTCACTCGTATAACACCATCTGTGAGGGAATTACTACACCACGTCAGGTCCCTCATAACACCATATGTGAGGGAATTACTACACCACGTCGTCCCTCATAACACCATCTGTGAGGGAATTACTACACCACGTCAGGCCCCTCATAACACCATCTGTGAGGGAATTCGTACACCACGTGATGCCCCTCATAACACCATCTGTGATGGAGTTACTACACCACGTGAGGCCCCTCATAACACCATCTGTGAGGGAATTACTACACCACGTTAGGTCCCTCATAACACCATCTGTGAGGGAGTTACTACACTACGTGTCTGCTGTTCAACACCTACATTAATCTGTATGTTCACTGTATGTTCCTTTACCTTTCTCTAATGAAGGCTTTTGTTAAACCACCAATGTATGTAATAAGTCATTTATGTCCAATGTATATTTTCAGCCTTCGGGCTGCAGAACTTTTTCAATAAACCGTGAATTAGTATTATTATTATTATTATTACACACACAGACACACGAATTACCTACACACCCCCACCACCACACTACCAACAGCAATAAAACTACACAAACGCTTGAAATATGTCAATGACAAAATATACTTAAGAACTAAACCAAAAATAGCCCGCCATTACTCTTAACAATAACATATTAATGGCTGGGCAAACAGATATTACAAATATATGTCATTAACCTTAAAAATAACTACAGGAATGTTGTTGTAATTCTCGTCGTCTTTAAGGTGTTTCATATACTGTACATTTAGAGACACTGTACTCAACCACCTTCACTTCCACAATTGTAAATCTAAGTACCAATTCACCACCGGACAGAGTGAAGGTGTCCAGCGTACCAACCAGCGACCCTCGGGACAAGAGACAAGCGCTGTATCCACTTATCTACGGCACACCCATTTCTAAAACAGAGAACTTGCAAGACTTCAGAATATATTACTGTGGTACTCAACTGACCTGTGATAAGATCTAGCAACAATTATTTTAATTTGGAAAAACATTAACACATCACCTCCACTTAATCTATGCCCCCCCTCCCTTCTCCGTTTTCTTCTCTTCCTTCCCCTGCTTCTAAATTCCTTCCTTCTTCCCTCTCTTTCTTTCTTAACCAACGCCTCCCTACCTTTCACTTTCTCTCCCTTCTCTTCCCTTTTTTCTACCTCTCCTTCCCTACTAGTTCCTCCAGTCTGCCTTCCCATCCCCGGCTTCTCCTGGTTCCTCCCTTGGCTCCTCCTTTACCAGCCTCCCTTGGACTCTCCCTTTCCCCCACCTCCCTTGTTGGCCCTCCCCTACTCCACCTCCCTTGTTGGCCCTCCCCTACTCCACCTCCCTTGTTGGCCCTCCCCTACTCCACCTCCTTTGTTGGCCCTCTCTTACTCCACCTCCCTTGTTGGCCCTCTCTTACTCCACCTCCCTTGTTGGCCCTCCCCTACTCCACCTCCCTTGTTGGCCCTCTCTTACTCCACCTCCCTTGTTGGCCCTCCCCTACTCCACCTCCCTTGTTGGCCCTCTCTTACTCCACCTCCCCTCACCCTCTCCTATCAGTGCCAGCATTACTGATAACATTCACTTTACATTATAATCATCGTCCGGATCTCCTGACTACACTCCACCCGGGACGTAATATTGCGTTAGTGTGTTATTGTTGTTGGCTGCCTAGTGATCCCTGTATGTGTGTGTGTGCGTGAAGGGGGGGGGGGTAAATTATAACGAGGTCGTGTGTATATTTAGACACCTCCACCACCCCACCTGTGAATTATTGATTACCCTGGCCACTCAAGGTCACCATGCACCTGTGCTTTGAAGTCTTCATATTGCTTAACCAACTCTTCTTTCGTTATAACCTTATTTATCTCGTTCGTCTCCCCCCTCTTAACAATATCATTGTTTATTATCATTTTCATTAACAGTGGCAGTAATAGAAGTAGTAGTAGCACTATTAATACACAGCAATTATCACAATTGTTAATTTATTAATAGATGATATTATTATTATTATTATTATTAGATCAGTACAATAGTAATTTAATAATAATAATAATAATAATAATATTAATTATAATAATAAAAATAATAAAAATTATAACTATTACATCAATAGCAATATTAATAATTATCACCACCACCATCATCATCATCATTACTACAGGTACAAAACTGACTTTAATGTCAAGCGTCATTCATTTCGAACGTATTATTATAATCATAAATGACTCTCTCTCTCTCTCTCTCTCTCTCTCTCTCTCTCTCTCTCTCTCGACTATAGAGCTAGAAAATGGTTTCAACTGAGTTATAAAATGAATATAATGAGCCGCCATTCTCAATAATTTTTACTTATTATAAGTTGATACATTAAACTACAGTACATATTATGTTTACAAACTCCTGATGCCCTGTGAGCCAAAACAAAAGTAAATGAGCCATAAAAATATTCCCGTTTTATGTTGATTTATGATACTCCCATACCCTGTGAGCTATAATAAAAATGTCAGAGGGGCTATTAAATAAGAAGTCACGTGAATTAATTACAATGCATTATCTAAAGAGCTCCGACTGCCTAATGAGCTATAAACCTGGGGCAGGCAGATGTGCTATAAATATAGGAGTCTTTTTGCCACCAATATTAAAAAACTAATGATCAGTTTGTGAGTTCAGGGTAATCACATTTTTGGAAACTTTCAACACAGAGGCTGAAATTACTACTGGCACAGTGACGTTATCCGGTGAGCTAAAACAAAATAATAGTATGAGCTATAAATTAAGTTTGTAAGCCTTCCACTACAATTAATTAATTCAGTCTGATCTGTCATTGGTATAAGTTAATTTGTTAATCCTTCAATAAATTAGTACAGTGTTCCGGCAGGTTAATACATCACACTGCACTTATTGAAAATACTCACATGTCTGGTGAGTTATAAAGAATAGAAGCAGATGAGCTATTAAACGGAGGTAGTGGTCATTACTGCAGGGGGTGAGGGAGGAGAGCCGCTGCGACACCTGGTCATCATAACCAATTACGCGTCGCAAGACACCTGGCTGACCTGTAATTAGTATACAGACCACCTCACACCGACCCCTCGCTGGGCCACACGACCCTCAACACGACCCTTCGCTAGAACACAAGAACCTCACCATGACCCCTTGTTTGGCCACACGACCCTCAACACGACCCCTCGCTAGACCACAAGACCCTCACCACGACCCCTCGCTGGGTCAGACGACCCTCACACATCAGGTGTACGCCTCTGCTTTAACCCCAAGAATCGCAGCTGAATCCCTTATCTGTGCCTTCCTTTAGGGGATCAACACCCTCATCACGTCTCTCCCCGTCTCTAGTGTGATGGTTCAACCCTCCTTATGATCTCCTCCCCCCCCTTCCTTCCTACTCGTTCATTACTTAGCGCCACCTGCTCCCCATTATCGTGTTCTAACGTCTCTTGTACTTCACCCGAGGAACATCTGAACCAATTAGTGTGTTCATTTATCGCGAGACACGAACACCATGGCCTCGACACCCCCCACTCCACCCCTAGACTGTAATTCCACCCCATAATCCTCCCCTCTCACCCTGTGCAAGTGGATTGCATGATATTTAGTCATGTTGATACAAAGTACGTAGAGACGAGCAACATGTGTCAGCTCTCACACACACACAAGCTCCCCCTTTCATACAATCGAGGATAATTAGACACCCATTGATTACAGGGTTAAATACCGTGGCCTCGTTTAAACACAATCATCAGAGACTCCCACACTACAGACCAGGGAGTTTAACACCACATTACACGCTGTATATTACCTCAGTCGTCCAGGAGGTGAAATATATAACCTTGGCTATTACACTCATAACATTTAGCAAGTGACATTTTACAAGGCAGGAAGCATGATCATAACCCAACCTAGGGAGCATACTGAAGGGAGAGGAGGAGGGGAGGGTAAGAGAGAGTTGGATCACCTGGTATGAGGACGAGAGTTGAGCTGACTAATTACAGCCAATCATTGTACAGCATTCCTCAACCTTCACTATTTTGAAACAAGTAACTGTATCTCTAATTGTGTCATTGTTGTTTTACTGCACCTACAGTATATGATTGTTACTAAGTTAATAAACGAAATAACACCAAACTAACTTCAGTAACGACAAATATGATAAGTCTATTAAATGCCCTAAAATGTAAGGTCAAAATCAGTAAAAAAAAATATGTCGCCTGTGACCTTACGTGACCTTAAAAAACACGCTAAAGGTTTGTTTGTGACAGTGCACGGGATAAAGACTTGTGCGAGGTTAACACATGCGTGTGTGTGTGTGTGTGTGTGTGTGTGTAAGGGCAGAAAGTTGCCAAAACATGTGTGTCAAGACCAAGGAGATTGAATTGATGGAGGCGGCATCGATGTGTATACAACAGAGCAGCGTGAAGCCGGGCAGCTCACCCTCCACCATCTTGGTCAAGGCAACACGGCCACAGCTACTCACGAACAAACGGTGGTTACAGATAATTCCGGAGGAGTTACACTATTGTTTTATTTATTATGCTCATTATAGTGAGGTCACCAAAGGAGGTTGAAGTCACTGAGCGAGAGGCGCCGCCATGTTGGTGAAGGCGTCAGTAACTTGAGGCAGCAGATGACGCCTCCATCCATTTTTTTCTTGCCTAAACCCATTATATCCATCCATATCTGAGATCACCCAAGAGTAGAACACCTTGTGAGTTAGAGAACAATTCACAAAAAAAATGTGAAATGAAAATGAAAAGGAAAAAACATAAATTTTCTAGTCTTTTCACGCTATACCGAAGGCCGATCAGATCACATGAAGAATAGGCACCCCACCTTATTCCACATGATGATTACACACCCTAATTCTACCTTCGGGTTTAAGTTAAGTTAGGTTAGGTTAGGTTAGGTTAGGTTAGGTTAGAATAGCATTAGGGCGTCTAATAATCTGTGGGGCTTAATCTTCAAATAATAATAATAACAATTAATAATAACCTGAACAATACACAAAAAATTAACTACAACTGACCCATCTTTTATCCCTATTATGAAGGTCAACAACAAACCAGGTACTAATAATATATCCCCTAATAACATAGATATTTAATAATATACGAACACCACAATAAATATATAACCCAATAAGGTTCCACACATATATATCTCCCTATAGTGGACACATATAGAAATAGATTCTTTTTTTTCCTCAAGTGTTGTGAAAGATTTTGGTGTTTTGTGAGAAATATACTGAGGTGTCCGTGTCGGTTTATTCTGTAGTGTGTCTGTCCTGGTTTATTCTTTAGTGTGTCTGTTGGTTTATTCTGTAGTGTGTCTGTCCTGGTTTATTCTTTAGTATGTCTGTGTCGGTTTATTCTGTAGTGTGTCTGGCCTGGTTTATTCTTTAGTATGTCTGTGTTGGTTTATTCTTTAGTGTGTCTGTGTTGGTTTATTCTTTAGTGTGTCTGTGTTGGTTTATTCTTTAGTGTGTCTGTCCTGGTTTATTCTTCAGTGTGTCTGTTGGTTTATTCTTTAGTGTGTCTGTTGGTTTATTCTTCAGTGTGTCTGGCCTGGTTTATTCTTTAGTATGTCTGTGTTGGTTTATTCTGTAGTGTGTCTGTCCTGGTTTATTCTTTAGTGTGTCTGGCCTGGTTTATTCTTTAGTGTGTCTGTGTTGGTTTATTCTTTAGTGTGTCTGTTGGTTTATTCTTCAGTGTGTCTGTGTTGGTTTATTCTTCAGTGTGTCTGTGTTGGTGTGTTCTCTTTGAGTATTGTCTGTGTTGGTTTAGTGTGTCTGTCCTGTTTATTCTGTGGTATTCTTTAGTGTGTCTGTTTTATTCTTTGTGTGTGTCTGTGTTGGTTTATTCAGTGTGTGTCTGGCCTGGTTTATTCTTGTGTGTCTGTCCTGGTTTATTCTATGTATGTCTGTTGGTTTATTCTCTAGTGTCTGTGTTGGTTTATTCTTCAGTGTGTCTGTGTTGGTTTATTCTTTAGTGTCTGTAGTTGGTGTGTATTCTTTAGTGTGTCTGTTGGTTTATTCTTCAGTGTGTCTGTATTCTTCCAGTGTGTCTGGCCTGGTTTATTCTTAGTGTGTCTGTCTTCAGTGTGTCTGGCTAGTGTGTCTGGCCTGGTTTATTCTTTTTTAGTGTGTCTGTCTGGTTTATTCTGTAGTGTGTCTGTTGGTTTATTCTGTGGTGTGTCAGTGTGTCTGTCTGTTCTGGTGGTTTATTCTTCAGTGTGTCTCTGGTTTATTCTTCAGTGTGTCTGGCCTGGTTTATTTTTAGTGTGTCTGCTTAGTGTCTGGCTGGGTTTATTCTTTAGTGTGTCTGTGTTGGTTTATTCTTCAGTGTGTCTGTGTTGGTTTATTCTTTAGTGTGTCTGTGTTGGTTTATTCTTTAGTGTGTCTGTGTTGGTTTATTCTTTAGTGTGTCTATGTTGGTTTATTCTCATTCTTAAGTGTGTGTGTGTATTTAATAGTCCCTAATTTATTCCATTATTATAGAGTATATTTTAATTTATTCTGTGCGTCTCCCTAAAAAAATTCCCAAATCCCCTAAATGTTCTAATTCCCTGAGTAAACGTAACTTAAAATACCTTAAAATTATAACTAAGAAACGTCCATATCTTTTTAGGTTTTTACTCACCTAAACCAACGGATCACCTGATGATTAGATGCTAGATTATTTCAGCTGATGGCTAACACCCTAACGCTAACCTAACCTGACTAATCTAACCTAAACTAACCCAAATTAATCTAACCTAAACTAACCCAAACTAATCTAACGTAAACTAACCCAAACTAATCTAACCTTACCTAACCTAACCCTCCTTAACCTTACATAATCCAACCTAACCTAGTCCAAACTAATATAACCTTACCTAACCTAACCTTACATAATCTAACCTTCCCTAACCTTACTTAATTTAACCTGCCTCACCTTGACACACATACAGGTAAAGTATGCGTAGCAAGTCAGTATATCACACACACACACACACACACGCACACGCACACGCACACACACACACACACACACACATTCGGTCTCAATCCTTGACTTAAATAGTCCAGGAAGGTTTTACTGCTATGTTCAGCTAATGGTGACTGACATGGTAGGTGGTGGTGGTGGTAAAGGTGTGGTGATAGTGAGTGTTTGGTGATGGTGAGGTTAGTTGTTGGTGAGGGAGTGAAGATGGTGAGAGTGAAGGAGTGAGGATGGAGAGGGGAGGGCAGTGAGAATGATGATGGTGGTGAGTGAGAAAAGCAACAGTGAAGACGATAGTATGAGTGAGTGAGGAGGATGGTAATGATGTGTCCTGACAGTTGGGAGGAGGACTGTCAAGGGGTGACCTATATCTAACTGCGACCTTGAATACCATGTGTCACCCTGATGTGATTGATTCAGGTGGGAGGTGGGTGGATCAGTGAATTGTGGGCACAGGTGGGTGGATCAGTGAATTGTGGGCACAGGTGGGTGGATCGATGAATTGTGGGCACAGGTGGGTGGATCAGTGAATTGTGGGCACAGGTGGGTGGATCAGTGAATTGTGGGCACAGGTGGGTGGATCAGTGAATTGTGGGCACAGGTGGGTGGATCAGTGAATTGTGGGGTACAGGTGGGTGGATCAGTGAATTGTGGGCACAGGTGGGTGACTAAAGAATTGTGGGCACAGGTGGGTGGAATTTGATGAATTGGGGCACAGGTGGGTGGATCAGTACCAGGGGTACAGATGGTGGGATCAGTGAATTGTGGCACAGGTGGGTGGATCAGTGGAATTGTGGGTACAGGTGGGTGGATCAGTGAATTCAGGGGCACAGGTGGGTGGATCAGTGAACAGTGGGCATGTGGGTGGATCAGTGAATTGTGGGCACAGGTGGTGATCAGTGCAATCTGTGGGGCACAGGTGGGTGGATCAGTGAATTGTGGGCACAGGTGGGTGGATCAGCGGGAATTCAGGGGCACAGGTGGGTGGATCAGTGAATTGTAGGCACAGGTGGGTGGATCAGTGAATTGGGGCATGGTGGTGGTGGATCAGTGAATTGTGGGCACAGGTGGGTGGATCAGTGAATTGTGGGCACAGGTGGATCAGTGAATTGGGGTACAGGTGGGTGGACTGATGAATTGTAGGGGTACAGGTGGGTGATCAGTGAATTCGGGGTACAGGTGGTGGATCAGTGACCAGTACAGGTGGGTGGATCAGTGAATTGTGGGCACAGGTGGGTGGATTGGATGAATTGGTGGGCACAGGTGGGTGGATCAGTGAATTGTGGGCACAGGTGGGTGGATCAGTGAATTGTGGGCACAGGTGGGTGGATCGATGAATTGTGGGCACAGGTGGGTGGATCAGTGAATTGTGGGCACAGGTGGGTGGATCAGTGAATTGTGGGCACAGGTGGGTGGATCGATGAATTGTGGGCACAGGTGGGTGGATCAGTGAATTGTGGGCACAGGTGGGTGGATCGATGAATTGTGGGCACAGGTGGGAGTGAAAAGGTTCTAGAAGTGTGGAAGGGTGGGTGGGAAGGGTGATGGTGTGTGGATTGGTGGAAAGGTTCTGAGTGTGTGGCTAGGAAAATAGGCCATAGCAACCTACACCACTAACCTAACACCATCACCACACACTACACCTACCACTATCCCACCACAACCACCACCATCATCACTACTACCAACACCATCACTACACCTTCCCAAAGCCACTACTACCACCACCACTACCCCTGGCTGCCCGCTAGTGATCAATTATATAGTAGGACTGAACAAATGGTGCTATTGATGACCACTGACCTAGTTCCCCTATCGTATAATATTTGCAACACCCACCTCTCTCCTGCAGCCCATAACACAAGATACCTTTTACATCAGTCGGGTGTTCAGCCGGCCAGCGTGAGTCCTCGTTTCATCTCTACTATACTTTGTAATACGGAATTATTTTCAGCCGCTTCATACTGGGAGTTCCTCAGGTGTGTGTGTGAGAGAGAGAGAGAGAGAGAGAGAGAGAGAGAGAGAGAGAGAGAGAGAGAGATAAATATTGCAATCTCTCACGTACGTTCCCTTGCCCTCCCCCCTCCCCCTCGCCCCTTTTATATCTCCCCAGTCTCCCCAGAGACAATACGGAAAGCAATGAGTGTTTGTATCTCCCTTCTCCCGCATCTGTCTCTTGTCTGTCTGCTTCCATCTCTTCTGAATCGGCTAGACGGTGAGCGAATGTATTGTACATTACTTTAAATCTACCCGTCCCCTCTTGTTTGTCTGTCTGTCTAGGTACGTTCACCCGTCCCCACTCTCTCTCTCTCTCCCCAACGACAACAGTGAGAGCTATCTCGGGTTTGAACTTGGCCTAGAAAACCGGTTAGGGCCGCAGGGGGAGAGGGAGGAGGGGAGAGAAACCTGTTACACGACTCAAGTTCTGGCGGATCACAGAACACTGGGCGGCCTGGTGACAGGTGGCTCTGAGGCGCTGTTGGGCTAAATGTTCTGTGATTGTTGCTCTGCTAAATTATCACCAGAGTTTATTGAGTCGTGGTACATCCGACAACAAGAGTGGTAACCGTCGCGCAGCTGGCAGTCGAGGGCAGTAACCTTGGCCCCCATCAGTGGCCATGGCCGGCGATGACGTCACCACTCTACATACCGGGCACAGCCACCTCACACTGTTTTGACTCCGCTAATCCTTGCGTCATCTCTTTCAATACAACAATTTACGATCCCCGGGCCCGAGATCTCCTACCACCCATCGCGCCCCTTACGCCCAAAGTTTACGATACTCGTACGCCCGCCCGCGCCGTAGTAACCTTGGCCGCCTTTGGAGTTGGAAATGGCGGGCTCGCGTGGTGTGCCAGACTGTATCGATCTAGGAGCAGAGTGCTGCGAGGCCCTTGATCTTGAACACTGTTTTAGCCGTGGCCTCAGAGGACCCCATTACCTGAACCACGTGACCCTGCCTGGGTGTGGAGGCCCGGCCAACCACGGCGTGTTCACCATCCTCGCTACTCTACTGTACATCCCGGGAGCAGCACCTACTCCCCGCTACCACACCTTACCTCACACACACACACACATTCAGTCATACTCTGTAACATACCAATTGCACTACCGGTAACACATCTCCATATTACTTACACGTTGATATAACTCATCTTGTAATCACTTCACTCAACAACTGATAAACGATAACCTTACTAACACACAAATGAAAGGATATTTTCTGCTTAATGAAACAGTTTGAAATATCCACATCTGGTCTTGACGCACTCCGTAAATGAGTGACGTGAGGACGCATGAATATTCCTAGCGCTTAATTTACCAAAACATCGAAATATGCAAAATCAGAAACCAATTATTTACAAGTTGGCGCCAAAACTTGATGTGAGTTGAATGTGGCGCGCGGACCAGCAGCACGCCAAACATTCCCAGTATCCACCCACAATATTCCCGCTATACATTACATTACTGGCGTTATTATAACATCAGAGGCTTTTACCGTAAATGGCGCCGCTGTACAATAAAATGATAATGTTAATTTTTTTCCCGTAAATCTCATATAAACGATTTAGTCCACAAGCCGGAGGTGGTACAGTAGTGTAATGATATAACAATTCTTTACCTGCAGTCCCTCCCCCTCCCCTCACTACCATACACTCCCTGCCTCACCTCCCCTCACTACCATACACTCCCTGCCTCACCTCCCCTCACTACAATACACATCCCTCCCTCCCCCTCCCCTCACTACCATACACTCCCTCCCTCCCTCCCTTCACTACAATACACCTCCCTCCCCCCCTCATTAAACACACCCTTCACTACCATACATCCTCCTCCCCTCCCACTACCATACCTCCCTCCTCACCTCCCTCACTACAATACACATCCCTCCTCCACCTCCCTCACTACCATACACCCCTGCCTCACCTCCCCTCACTACAATACATCCCTCCCTCCCCCCTCCCTCACAACACACACTCCCTCCCCTCACCTCCCTCACTACAATACACATCCCTCCTCACCCCTCACCTCCCCTCACTACAATACACATCCTCCCTCCCTCCCTCACTACCACACTCCCTCCCTCACCTCCCTTCACTACAATACACATCCCTCCCTCCCCCTCATTAACATACACCCTTCACTACCATCCCTCCTCACTACCATACACATCCCTCCCTCCCTTCACTACCATACACCCTCCCTCCCTTCACTACCACCTCCCTCCTCACTACAATACACATCCCTCCCCTCCCTCACTCCCTCACTACCATACACTCCCTCCCTCACTACCTACACCTCCTCACTACCATACACTCCCTCCCCTCACTACCATACACTCCTCCTCACTACCATACACCCACCTACCCCCCTCACTACCATACACCTCTCCCCTCACTACCATACACCTCCCCTACCATCCCTCCCCCCACGTACACTCCCTCCCCACTACAATACACATCCCTCCTCCCCTCCCCTCACTACCATACACTCACCTCCCCTCACTACAATACACATCCCTCCCTCACCTCCCCTCACTACACATCCCTCCCTCCCTCACACCCCCCTACACACCATACCTCCCTCCTCCCTCCCTCTCACTCCTCCTCACATACATCCCCTCCCTCATTGCCTACCCCCCTCACCCCTCCCAAATGTTACCATATTCCCCCACTACCATACACTCCTCCCCCTCCCCTCACTACACCTCTCTCTCCTCCCTCACTACCATACACTCCCTCCCTCCCCTCACTATCATACCTCCCTCCCCTCCCCTCCTCACTACCATACACTCCCTCCCCTCACTACCATACACTCCTCCCTCACTACCATACACTCCCTCCCCTCACTACAATACACTCCCTCCCTCACCACCATACACACCTTCCCTCCCCTCACTACCATACACTCCCCCCCACCTCCTCTCCCCTCCCTTCCACCGCTCACTATACAAAACGCGCGGGTAATAAATATTATTAGAGATACAGTAATCAACCAATACAGCGTAGAAGTGAAGTACACTCTTTACACTTATTACTTCCGGTGTTAATTCCAGCTTGTCTACCTTCATGTTACTAGTTGTACCTACCTCAATTATCACTATTATTAACATTATTATTATTATTATTATTATTATTAGTAGTAGTAGTAGTAGTAGTAGTAGTAGTAGTAGTAACTTACCAAATTACTATATTTATCAATAACTAGACTTAAAAAAAATAATAGTAATAAATAAAATAAACAAATTGAGATAAACATGATGACATTTTAATATAAATTTACTTATACTGTGTAACTTGTAATCCAGATGACAATGTTATAAACTAATTCTTTGAAATAAATGTGCAATAATTTTCAGGCGCTAGGGCTCCCGTCTCTCACCTTGCCTCAGTCATGTTAATATTATTATTGTTTATTTTGCATCTGTTTTTCATTATTATTATTAACCATTCTTCCCGCTCACCAGTCTTCCTACGTCCAAACATCACCTTCCATGTACATATCCCTCCCTTCCCTCCATCACCCCATTCCACAACCTTCTTTCCTCCTTCCTACCTTCCCTCCTTAGCTTACCTTACCTGTTCCACCGTATTGTTGGTAGCCTTGAGCTGGCCCAGGGCGTGGCACTACCATCACCTCCTCCTGTGTGCAGGCAGGGACCTCTGTACTGTTGGGAGGGTGGGGGCATCTCTGTACTGTTGGGAGGGTGGGGTGAGGGTGGGGGCATCTCTGTACTGTTGGGAGGGTGGGGTGAGGGTGGGGGCATCTCTGTACTGTTGGGGGGTGGGGGTGGGGGATCTTCGGTCTGCTGGCATGGAGTACCTTTGGACTGTTGGTAGGGAGCACCTTTGGACTGTTGGTAGGGAGTACCTTTGGACTGTTGGTACGGAGTACCTTTGGACTGTTGGTAGGGAACCTTGGACTGTTGGTGGGGAGTAACTTTGGACTGTTGGTAGGGAGCACCTTTGGACTGTTGGTAGGGAACCTTGGACTGTTGGTGGGGAGTAACCTGTTGGTGGGTACCTTTTGACTGAACTTGACTGGGTAGGGGTAAATTTTGCTTTGGTTGTAGACTGTTGGTAGGAGTACCTGACTGTTGGTAGGAACCTTGAGTTGGTGGGGAGTAACTTTAGACTGTTGGTAGGGAGTACCTTGACTGTTGGTAGGAACCTTTGACTGTTGGTGGAGAACTTGTGTTGGTAGGAGCACCTTGACCTTGTTGGTGGAGGGAGTTGAAACTTTTCTGTTGGTAGGGCACCTTGAGCACCTTTGAGCTGGGTGAGGAGCTAGGACTGTTGGTAGAACCTTGGACTGTTGGTGGGGAATACCTTTGGACTGTTGCTAGCTAGCTTGAACCTTTGGACTGTTGGTAGGAGCACCTTGACTGTTGGTAGAACCTTGACTGTTGAATACCTTTGACTGTTGCTAGGGGAGTAACTTTGGACTGTTGGTAGGAGCACGTTTGGACTGTTGATAAAGAGAACGTTGGACTGTTGATAGAAGTACCTTTGGACTGTTGATAGAGAGTACCTTTGGGCTGTTGTACCTTTGGACTGTTGGTGGGGAGCACTGAACTGTTGGTAGGAGCACCTTGGACTGTTGGTAGGGAATACCTTTGGACTGTTGCTAGGAGTAACTTTTGGGTACTTGGACTGTTGGTAGAGGGAGTACATTTGGACTGTTAGCAAGGAGCACGTTTGGACTGTTGATAAAGAGAACGTTGGACTGTTGATAGGAAGTACCTTGACTGTTGATAGAGAGTACTTTTGGCTGTTGTACCTTGGACTGTTGGTGGGAGTACCTGGACTGTTGGTAGGGAGCATTTGGGCTGTTGGTAGGAGCACCTTTGGACTGTCGGTAAAGCACCTTTTGACTGTTGGTAGGGAGTACCTTTGGACTGTTGGTAGGGATCACTTTGGACTGTTGGTAGGGAGTACCTTTGGACTGTTGGTAGGGAGCACCTTTGGACTGCTGGTAGGGAGCACCTTTGGACTGTCGGTAAAGAGTACCTTTGGACCTTTGGTATGGAGTACATTTGGACTGCTGGTAGAGAGTACCTTTGGGCTGTTGGTAGAGAGTACGTTTGGACTGTTGCCAGGGAGTACCTTTGGACTGTTGGTAGAGAGTACATTTGGACTGTTGGTATGTGAGTACATTTGGACTGTTGGCAAGGAATACCTTTGGACTGTTGGTGGGAAGCACGTTTGGACTATTGGTAGGGATTACATTTGGACTGTTGGTAGGTGAGTACATTTGGACTGTTGCCAGGGAGTACCTTTGAATGTTGGTAGCGAGTACCTTTGGACTGTTGGTAGAGAGTACATTTGGGCTGTTGGTATGGAGTACCTTTGGACTGTTGGTAGGGAGTACCTTTGGAATTTTGGTGGGGAGTACATTTGGACTGTTGGCACCTTTGGACTGTAGGTAGAGAGTACCTTTGGGCTGTTGGCAGGGGGTAATGAGAGTACTAGCAGCGGGGGGGTAGGGATTACTAGCAGCGGGGGTGAGGGGAGTACTAGAAGTAGGGGGATTACTAGCAGCCGGGAGTGAGGGGATTACTAGCAGCCGGGGGTGAGTGGAGTACTAGCAGCGGCGGTGAGGGTAGTACTAGATGTAGGGAGAGGGATTACTAGCAGCCGGGGATGAGGGTAGTACTAGAAGTAGGGGTGGAGTGAAAGGAGTACTATCACCGAGTTAGTGGAGGGATGAACTAGACAGGGGTGTAGAGGAGCTGGGGTTTGTACTAGAGACAAGTGTACAGAGATGCGTAGAGGGGGGTGAAGATGCACCAGAGGCAGGCGTAGCACTACAGGCAGGTGTAATAACAGGGTGTAGAGGGGGCACTCACCTAAGTCGGGGATGGAGCTTGAGACGTCGTCCGTGTCTTCCTTTTTGCGCTCCTTCTTGCCAGAGGCACGTGGTCGACCGGTAGAGGAGGAAGACGTGGTGGAGGACGATGGTGACGAAGGCGTGGGAGGCGGACACTCAGACACTCTCACTTGGTCTTGGCGAGCTTGATCAGGGGGGCGTGTCTGGTCAAGTCGTACTGGGTCGTGGGGACGACGCACGTCCCGGTACCTGGCACCATGAGGGGTACGGATGATCTCCCTGGGCACATCCAATGGTCTAGCGAAGCCTCCCGAGGGTCGCCTAGCCCGGGGGTCATAGCAATGGGAGTCGGGGGGCGGCATGCTCGTCTCCACACATCGGATCACACCTGGCCCCCCTCCGTCTGCCTCGCCGTCGCGGTATTCAACGTCGACCTCCCTTTTGACAGAAATCTGAGGCTTAACATCGGCCTCGCTGGCGGCATCCTGACGCCAAGCGGCAGGTCTGGCAAACTCGCAAGAGGAAACTTCCTCAAACACAGGCTTGGTCTCCTTGCGAGTGATAGTCTCCTCTGAATGTTGGGTGGGCTCCATATATTGAGTAGCCTCCACGTACTGAGTGGCTTGCACGTGGTAGGTGGAGGTGGAAGAGGAGGATGAGGAGGAAGTGGATGAATAAGTTTGGTACTCGTGAGTTGTGTACTCCTGGCGTGAGTACTCTTGCGGGGGATACATAGTGTCGTCGGCGCCGGTAACTGAAGAGGATACGAGGGGCTCACACAACGCTTTGTCGGTCATTCTTCTCATGCTCGCCCGGCTCACTAGGCATCAACACCTCAGCACGGAACACCTGTCCTCTCTCACCTAAGTACACAAACTACCAATGTCACTCGTGGCTCACGAGCCTTCTCAAAACACTCAGTACCTCCACACACTATAACTACTCTTTTAAATTACATCCACGAACTTATTCTATTTCTCTATCTTCTTATTACAGAGGAATTGAACCTTTGATTATGAAACCACAGAATCAAAGTACACAAAGATACGCCGTCTCTGAATGTTGGTGTAGACAAGCAACGTCTGTGGGAAGGCAAAGTTGCACTTCCAGTCCCTCATCAACAGCGCAACCTTCACTGTTAACAAGGTCAGGTTTGTAGGACTGGTCCTGTACCTCCGGGTCGAGTTCACGGGATATGACCTTGAACCTCTAGTGGTGATCCTTAACACTGACTTGTTGTATGTACTTGAGAGTTAATGGATATAAACACACACCTGTCACGCACCTTGTCACTCACACAACACCAAGTTCAGAGTAGATTTTTTTTGTGGTAAACACTATGCGAGGACACGACCTGTGAAGGCAGAGTGCGACACACAATGCACTGAATGGCACACTTGACAGGTAAGTGGAGTATGACACACTGGTTGTGGTGGTCTGGGTGGGTGGATGTTTGTGTGGGCACCGGGCACTGTGGCACGGTCGGGTCTGCACCTCAACAAAGACTGGCGTAGCAATGGCAACAGCCCAGCAGCTGCAGGTGACGGTGCCGCCTGAGGTAGTAGGATACCCGATACACCGCCAAGGTCCTGAGATCCTTCACGCCCACGGTGTCACGCTCCGTGGGGGCTGAGGATGTGACTAGGTCGGGGGAGGTCACTAAAATCCTGAGGATGGTGTCCTACAGGAGGCCAACAGTATGGATGTGTGGGTGGCGAGGTGTGACGGCGGGGCGGCGTGAACGAGGGGCGGTGCCAGGCTGGGCGGCGTAAGTGTCAGTGAGCGGCAGCGGAGGAGGCAGTGAGCGGTGTCTCGCCTCCAGCAGCGCGGGTAAGAATGCGTCCACACGTGCGTCGTAGTGGTGGCCGCGTGTGCCGCCCGTGTGCATGTCAGCAGTGGTGCGCCGGCGTCACCGTCTAGCCCGCCACTCGTGTGAACCGTGTGTGTGCGTGTGTGTGCGTGTACGCCTCGAGATGTGTGCGTGTTATGGCGGTGTGTCTACACAGGCGGAGTTCGGTCAGCAACCCACGTGCAGCCAGCCGTCTTCCTCCTCCCACAACACCTGAAACAGTATGTATATTTCACTGTTTTACATGAATCAAAACTGGTTTTATTCATAGTTGTGAGTTCATACAAACATCACTTTAACATATTGTAACACTGAAGTTACATAAATGCTAACTGCAGACATTCGACAACCACGCGCGAAATCCTAATCTGCTCTCTGATTGGCTACTGGCGTCCCCTACGGAGACTGACTCAGCCAATCAGCGAAAGCGCTTGGATCAATATACGGACCCACGAAGGCAAAGGCAAAACTCGTGAACTCGCTCCTGTATCAACATTTATATAAAATCCAAGTGAAGTAATATATGAGAAGGTTACACAAGAGGAGTTGCCAGAGGACGACCACTGGCGTGTGTATCTCTTGACACAGCAATGATAAGATAACACAGATATGGTTCAAGGGCGTCACTTTGAAATTCTATGTATATCCTGACCTTGACAACAATATGTTTCTATGTTTAAACTGGCAGGAGCACTTTCCTTCATCTGATATTTGACTCCTTTTACTGTGGAAATAATTAGGCTTCCTACTTTGAAAACAAAAGAAGCTCGTTTTTGTCCTTGAAGCTAAAATATAAGTTATCTTCTAGTTTTACACACGCACGTAGTCGGGATTTGTTTGTATACATTAATGCGCGCGCACAGTGTTTACAAGTTCACCATCCCGACTCCCCACTGATCACATTGTAGATATGTGCTCTCTTAACACTCTCTCTCTTTCTCTCTCTCCGTAAAGCATTGTCCCTATTTGATCATGAGTTACACACACGACACAGCAGCACAACCTTACTCATTACTTTCTTGCTGATGGTGATGAACAGCCAGCATATACTGTACAGTAAGTGATACCTGTTTCCAATGTAATAATAACTTAAATTCTTACCATTTGTTCAAACATCAATATGTTACTGTATAAAATTTGCCTCCTGTATAAATAAATGTTTCTGCTTGCATGAAACACATTTAGGACTTCGTTTTCATTCCCTTACATCTAATGTTAAGAGAACTAACACCAGCTGTGGAACTCCCTACCTGGGAGTGTTTTTCCTGTCATTACCTCCAGCAGTTCAGTCTTCCCACTTCAAATATCTTCAGTTTTTGGCATGGAGACGCCTCGGTCAATAGGTATAACAACAACACTTGTTTGATCTCTCCATACGCTTTATAATTTGTTTGGGAAAAAACTTCCACTCTCCTACACACTCTCCTGGCACTGATGTGATCATGACTGGCACTGATGTGATCATGGCTGGCACTGATGTGATCATGACTGGCACTGATGTGATCATGGCTGGCATTGATGTGATCATGGCTGGCATTGATGTGATCATGGCTGGCACTGATGTGATCGTGACTGGCACTGATGTGATCATGGATGGCACTGATGTGATCATGGCTGGCATTGATGTGATCATGGCTGGCACTGATGTGATCATGACTGGCACTGATGTGATCATGGATGGCACTGATGTGATCATGGCTGGCATTGATGTGATCATGGATGGCATTGATGTGATCATGGCTGGCACTGATGTGATCATGACTGGCACTGATGTGATCATGGATGGCACTGATGTGATCATGGCTGGCATTGATGTGATCATGGATGGCATTGATGTGATCATGGCTGGCACTGATGTGATCGTGACTGGCACTGATGTGATCATGGATGGCTCTGATATGATCACGTCTGGCTCTGATGACACAGTGATCATGTTTAGAACTGAAGTGACTGGGAATTTAGTGCTATTGAGTTTATGGCTGACACTGACGTGATCATATGTGACATTAATCTACGTAATGCCTGGCCCGCATGTGAGACACAGACCAAGTCATGCTTGTTTGGCTATAGTGGTAACGTTTTCTGTGTGTGTGTGGCTTAAGATGTAGAACCAGCTAATATTTAGGAATTAAGATAATAAAACCACCTGACGTGCACGGATTAAGATAATACAACCACTTGACGTGCACGGATTAAGATAATACAACCACCTGACGTGCACGGATTAAGATAATACAACCACTTGACGTGCACGAATTAAGATAATACAACCACTTGACGTGCACGGATTAAGATAATACAACCACTTGACGTGCACGAATTAAGATAATACAACCACTTGACGTGCACGGATTAAGATAACACAACCACTTGACGTGCACGGATTAAGATAATACAACCACTTGACGTGCACGAATTAAGATAATACAACCACTTGACGTGCACGGATTAAGATAATACAACCACTTGACGTGCACGGATTAAGATAATATACAACCACATTAAGATAATACAACCACTTGACGCACGGATAATACAACCACTTGACGTGCACGGATTAAGATAATACAACCACTGACGTGCACGGATTAAGATAATACAACCACTGACGTGCACGGATTAAGATAATACAACCACTTGACGTGCACGGATTAAGATAATACAACCACTTGACGTGCACGGATTAAGATAATACAACCACCTGACGTGCACGGATTAAGATAATACAACCACCTGACGTGCACGGATTAAGATAATACAACCACTTGACTGACGTGCACGGATTAAGATAATACAACCACTTGACGTGCACGAATTAAGATAATACAACCACTTGACGTGCACGGATTAAGATAATACAACCACCTGATGTGCACGGATTAAGATAATACAACCACCTGACGTGCACGGATTAAGATAATACAACCACCTGACGTGCACGGATTAAGATAATACAACCACCTGATGTGCACGGATTAAGATAATACAACCACTTGACGTGCACGGATTAAGATAATACAACCACCTGACGTGCACGGATTAAGATAATACAACCACTTGACGTGCACGAATTAAGATAATACAACCACTTGACGTGCACGGATTAAGATAATACAACCACCTGATGCACGGATTAAGATAATACAACCACCTGACGTGCACGGATTAAGATAATACAACCACTTGACGCACGGATTAAGATAATACAACCACTTGACGTGCACGGATTAAGATAATACAACCACTTGACTGATAATACAACCACTTGACGTGCACGGATTAAGATAATACAACCACCTGACGTGCACGGATTAAGATAATACAACCACTTGACGTGCACGGATTAAGATAATACAACCACTTGACGTGCACGGATTAAGATAATACAACCACTTGACGTGCACGGATTAAGATAATACAACCACTGACGTGCACGGATTAAGATAATACAACCACCTGACGTGCACGGATTAAGATAATACAACCACCTGACGTGCACGGATTAAGATAATACAACCACTTGACGTGCACGGATTAAGATAATACAACCACTTGACGTGCACGGATTAAGATAATACAACCACTTGACGTGCACGGATTAAGATAATACAACCACTTGATGTGCACGGATTAAGATAATACAACCACTTGACGTGCACGGATTAAGATAATACAACCACTTGACGTGCACGGATTAAGATAATACAACCACTTGACGTGCACGGATTAAGATAATACAACCACTTGACGTGCACGGATTAAGATAATACAACCACCTGACGTGTGACCTCAATAAAGAGAACCAGCTGACGTGTAACCTCAATAAAGAGAACCAGCTGACGTATAACCTCAATAAAGAGAACCGGTTGACGTGTAGAAGCTTCCAACGACGCTCTCAACCGATCACACATCACTACACCTCTCATTAACCCACAATGTCACATTATTTCACATTATTTGCTCTTGCCATGCTAAAAAATATATATTGTCTCGTTACCACAAAACTTTTTATTTATTTATTTATATATATATATATTTTTTTTTTCACTTCCTGAAGTGGAAAATTAGCATATGCTTTATTCTATCTATATGAACGTTTCTTGATACTAAGAAACCAGAATTCACTTTACATGAAATAAAAAGTTGAAATTTACCTGGAATAAGATAAATGCTCTCGTTATAATTCAGTTTACAGCGCCCTCACAGCTGTATAACTGGATATAATGGAATTTGCCCATGTACCAGTGTTTGTATTGCCTTAGTTATGTATCTTAAAGGGAGTAAGGCTTATAAAATCGACACCCAGTTGAGGGGTTGTAAGTGCGCGATATATGAATGAGAAAATAACAAATATTTTACCATTTGAGTCCTGTTCTAATGAGAATTTCATAGAATGGTGATGGTTTGTATGATTTTGGGTAACCCCCCCCCCCCCCAAAAAAAAAGAAAAAATACATAAATAAATAAATAAATAAACAAAATAAAACATCCTCAAAAATGTGTTATGGGTGGCAGCGATGCACTACCGGGGGGAGCATAAAAGAGCCATTGGTTTTCATGGCAACACCAGAATATATTAGGTAGTGCTGGCCTGGGAGGAGCAGCCCATGGATACTCCGTCAATTTGCTTATATAATTTACCAACATAAAAGACGCCTGTGTCGAGTTAAGTTAATAATATCTTATATCTTGTTTATTAATAAGAGATGCAGCCTGGAGCGAAATTAACACACACACACACACACACATAGTAAACACACACACACACACAGTAAACACCGATTTAAAATGGCAGATATTAAGGATACATTCTTAACCGGGAACAACTTTAGACAATATTAAGACAAGAAACTTTCCCCAATAAAAGGTGAGTATTGTAGAGGCAGACAAATGGAACCCGACACTGAGGGACTCTGGGTAAAATAACCTCCTTTAAACATCCACATTCTCCTGGGTCTTTGATAACGTGTCGCCTCGATGAACAGAGTTAACAACGGCACTCATCTGATCTTCCCCTGTGGTTTATATCAAATATTTTAGCGCCAAATCCGAAAGTTAACACATCACCTCGAGTTACCTGGTCAAGTTCATACTTTAACTTTAACTTTCCTTGGGGCTATTTATCATCAATTATCAAGGAAGAAAAGTGATCATCAGATAATAAGATAAAGTTCCGCCCACTACTCTGTTGAGATATCACTTCCTCCCTTACCACGTCTAC